AATGAGTCGATGATGACAAATGCGCTTGACTCATGTCCCCATCGCCAAAACTCGGTACCACTCTTGAGGCCAGTGACCTCTAGGAATGGGGCAAGGTGGGACAGGTCGGGGTTGAGTGAACTGAGGAAAAAACAGACTGAGTCATTGCGCCTTTCCTCAGGAGGTATAATAGCTGGTATGAGTACGTATGCCTGATTCATTATCAGTTAATGTCCGTTCACAATAATGATTGTACCATGTACACGATTCACAATTTCCACCGGTTCATATCGCGCATCCCCGTGCTTCTTCGTACGTTGCTTCCTGGATCATCTTCCGCTGTTGGTTTTAGTGGCCGCCATTTCTGCAGACTGGGATCCTTTGCACTCGCTCAAACATCTTCGGTACCAATGAGAAAGGAGCCGCGCAACATATCGGCGAATGGGTTGGCCAGTCTTATGCTCTCCCAAATCATCCCCAAAGTGTGTGCATACCTTTCGACCATGCAGTTAGAATAGAGACATGTTATATAGATTATACCACATACTTGCTGCATATACAGCTCCCAATCCTCTATCTGCTGGCTGACCGGCTTATGCATGTCCAAGTAAACTTTGGTGAAGGCAAGGATCTTCTCCTGTCAGATGAATCAACAACATGAAACTAACAGAAAGTGTTAGGTTTTGGTTGTATTGGATGCAGAGCCACTGGGACAAATAGGTACAAACAGCTTGACTATGTACTGAGCCACTGTATTTCCTTTGTTCCTTAGTCCGTGCAATTGACCTTGCCTTCGGTTTGTGTATGTGTCTGGGCCTGGTGTGCTTATGGCCACCCATCTTATGCTTCCCTGTTCTGCCTGCTGCTATCAGAAAGTACTTTATGGGAATGTGCTTTGAAAACGGCTTCTTCTGCTTCATCGAGACCAAGTACACTCAGGTAATGCTTCCTATCATTGGAAGATCGGCAGTCGGTATCTTGCATCAAGTGCGAAATGGGGACGGACATTTCTAGAGGTATTCTTTGTCAGAGGTGTCTGGCTATCCAGATGGAGGAACCAAGACTTACAGGTGAAGCAGGAGAGCGAAGTTTCGAATTGTGCAGTTCAAGTGACAAGTTCAATGTGTCCGTGCCTTTAGGGTGTGCACGGGTCACATGACTTGCGCCACAAGCGCGTTTGCTGACAGACATGCAAACCAACAGGTTTAGTTCTGAAATTTATAGGGATTATATACATGAGTGGAGATCGACATTTATGACTTTATAGCTATGCATTAGTAGGATACGCCTGTAGGCCAAGGCATAGTGTACCTATATGGTTTATGCCCCAACTTTGTTTCACGGACCATGTGAACCATATTAACTGTAAGTAGTTTTCGCACGATGCATGTCTACAGACTTGGTCTAATTTGATTATCTGTTGGTTGTTATTGTTAGGAGTAGGATCACATCAGTTTGAATGTTGTTGGTTGCTAATATTTCTTGATTGTTTGTTTGTTTCGCATTTGATCGCGTGTATTGATATCCAGACGAGATCTACCATTGTTGATAGAATGTGCAATTATATTGTGAGTTATGGTTTATCTGTATCTACTTTCTTCATTGTAGGGTTGTTGTTTGACCTTGGTCATATTACCAGGATACCGATTGCTCTGCAGAGTGCCAATTTTGCATTATAAGGTAGTGACATATCCAACTGCATGAACCCAAATCCTGCAAGCATGCTACATCATTGACACTTAGGGAAGGTGCATCGAAGTGAATTAGGATGTGCAATCAACACAATCTGGAAATATTCGATCCCCACAGATACAAGGATCGGGAATGCAGAACCAAAGGGAAGTATCACAAACTGGCATGTCCAGAAGTACAAAATATGAGACCTGCAGACCCTTCCCCTCCCACCATCCACTGCATCAACATTAGTCACTGAACACAACACAAGTAATCACCACGTATGTCTTCCCGATGGTACCTACTACGTATTCTCAGCACTGGACGAGCGGTATCTACTCTATGAGGCAGACAATTGCCCTCACCTGCTGTGGCCCTGGGGAGACGCGATCACTTTACTGGTCCTAGTGGACAATGATACTGTCAAAAAGAAGTGAGTACCGAACCCATGTCATACATTTTGATTGATGATCGTAGACTCAAGGAACAGAAAGCCCGCAAGTTGCCAATCGAATCACAAATGATTGAAGAAATTAAGGACACTGGATACATACTCCTGCGTCCTGGAATGGCAATACTGTTACAAATTGTGAAGACAATTCAAGACAAGGGCCTGGACGCAGACACAGGCAATGACAATCTTCAGGGATGGGTGACGGACAAGAAGCGACGATTGGGGGATGATTCCATTTCAGATGATTTAATGGAAAGGATGGCTCGGATAATGGAAGATATATCGGGACTGGCAGATGAAAGGTCAGACTCTCCTCCCTCTCGAAAGAATGTTTATACAGGAGGCATCGCATTCGAATGGCACCTGTACACGAGGAATGCGCAGCCTTTCAACAGTCAAGGCAAAGGCTGCTACAGCATTGGTTATACGGTGGAAAAGCAAGCGGCCCTGATGCACCCTAGTAAGAACATGCAATACAACCCAGTAATCAGGATGGATGACAACATCAGGATAGGATTACTCAATGTGTGTATCACTTCCGAAACATTCCAGTTTACTAACGATAAACACTAGGTCGCTACTGAATACAGCAGGAATGGCTCCAAAGGACCATACAGATCTAATGGAACATTACGGACTGGAACACAGAGTTCCACCTCTAGGACACGACAAGAACCGTCTATTCTGGACGGGATGTCAAGTCAACATGTGGCGCCCGCTTCCAAATGACGCAAGTACGGAATTCAGCAAGGACTTGGGACGCACCGCAGACATCCAGGTTGATCGCCGGGATCAAATAGGATCCTTCACTCAACTCATTGTGTTAACGCCAACTCCACCCGCATGCACGCCCACATACTTCCTAATCGAGTTCATTGTGATGGATTACAGCACTACCATCACATTCTCAGGCCATCGTCTCCATTCTCGCCTCCCTTCAGTAGCAATGTCTGATCAGGTCCCGCCCGATGCCTACTCAATAGTAGCAGTGCTTTATCAAACGGACATGCTTGCGCAGCACCAGTGGTTCCCACCATTGTAATACAGTACAAAGAGATACACTGTACAACCCATGTGCATTAGGCCAGCGACTGTAGATCAGCTGTAAGTACAAGGACTGGCTGCTGGCTGACTTTGATATACAGTGCTGTATTACAGTGGGTTGATAATGTCTGGTACTGTAGATGACTGTGAATGGTACTGTACTCCATTTCTGGGCTGAATGCAGTGTACTGTAGATGGTACTGTGGATGGATGGCTGGCCCTATAGAGGGCACTGTAGATGGTACTGTACATGAATGGCTGACCTCATACATGGCACTGTAGATGGAACTGTAAATCATATTCAGGCTGGAATGCTGGTACTGTAGATAGGATGCCGAAGCGTGATTAGTGCTATCAATAATGGCTCCGAGAGCTTCCATAGGGCAAAAATAAATTCGGAAAAATGCTGAACAAATCATAACATATTGATGGATGGGTATGCTGCTGATGCACACTATACATGAGGTAATCAGCCGCTAAAAAAACAAAATATGATAGGGTAGTCATTAAAACCACATTTATCTGCTATGCACCCATATGGGATTTATTCCCAGGGGTACTGTAGATTAGTGCGTAGAAGTGTGAGAAAGGGATCAATGGCATGGATACACTGCTTGTTTTAGCTATATGGTCCCAGAAATTATATTTCTTACCACCAGCTCTGGGACATTATTTTGTGATTTCCTGGTCCAGTACTGGTGAGAACTCTACACGCCTTTGAGACTTTGGTCACCTAATATGTAGCTACAGGTTTACTCAAGAGTGCGGGAGAATCTAACTGCTTCATAAATAGCTACCGCTTTTCACTGATGCTCCTCCTGGAGCCTTTCCCCAGGTACCACCACTGAGTTTGATGGTCCGCACAGCCTCTCCCTAGTGTATAGAGTGGTATGCCATCAAGGCGTATGAATTTCCGCACCATCTAAGTCACTATCCATGGAGATATAGAGATGCACCGCAAATGTGACACCAAAACACAAAGACATTGCTACACCACATGAACCATACATAATATCTTCCTGAAAATATTCGCTGGTACCTCTCCAGGTATGCCCCATCAATCATACATATTGTCCCGGGCATCCCACTACCATCCATGCAGCAGCGGGCTACAGCAAGGAGTAGGTGCATTGGGTTGGTTAAGGCCGTCACAGCCACTTCCTATGTTTCAACAGGCTATTTCCTATTTTGTCTTATGTTTATCTTAACAGTCACTCTTAGATAGACAACGGACTCTGGCTCTAGAATGCAGTGCAAGCATGTATTCGGCTGACGGCCCTCACAGATGACATCGTATCTACTATGTACCCTTGGCTTCCGTTTCCGGTACCTGACAGTTAGGAGTAGTCGGATGGTCACTTATACCTGTAGCTCCCTGTACTCTCCCCTTTTCCCCGTTGAATCAACACCAGTATCGGTCTCAGCATCTACTCATGTCTGGTTCTACGTCTGTGCTTCGGTTTCAGTCACCTTGACTGTTACATGCATGGCAGAACTGCAGTG